TTTTTTTTTTGGAGATGAGGTCTCGCTCTGTTACCCAGGCTGGAGTGCAGTGGTGTGATCATAGCTACTGCAGCCTCCAATTCCTGGGCTTCAGGTGATCCTCCTGCCTCAGCCTCCAGAGTAGCTGGGACTACAGACATACACCACCATGCCCAGATAATTTTTTTTATTTTTGTAGAGACAGGTTCTAGCTATGTAGCCCCAGCTGATCTCGAACTCCTGGCCTCAAGCGATCCTCCTGCCTCAGGTTCCCAAAGTGCTGGGATTACAGACATGAGCCACCACACCCAGCCAGCCCGTGATTACTTTTGAAAAGATGGATGATCCTTGCCTTCAGAAATAACAGGCAAACTTAAAAAATAAGAGACATAATCATGACAGCGTTAAACATCTGTGCAATCCAGAACTGAATTATACGCCCACATTCAAGGGTGGGCTTGTTACGTAGTTGCTGCTTAACTGTGAGTTGACTAGTTGTTAGTCACAATCCCATGATGTGATCATAACCCCATTCTATAGATGAACAAACTGAGGCTCAGAAGGGGCAGAATAAAATGCCCCAAATCACCAGCACATCAATGTCAGAGGCAGGATTTGAACCCCGATCTGTGTTCCACCAGTGTCCTACGGTGCCCCCAGGCTCAGTTCATAACTTTCACCCAGCTGGTAAGAAGCATTTACAAAAGGGCAATTGTTTAAACTCCGGCACAGGGACACTGACTGGGCTTAGGAATGAAATGTTTCTCTGAAAGGTTCTGCCCCTCCCTGGCTGTGTGGCATTAATCAACAACCTTAACCTCTCTGAGCCTCTGTGTCCCTGACCGTAATAATAAAAGCAATAAATACATTTTTGGAGCACTTGGTGTGTGCCAGACATCATACTCAGCGCTCTACACGGACGAACTCATTTCATCCACATGACAACCCTGTGACAGAGGGCTGTTATCCCATTGTCCTTGCGTTTCCTTCCAGACCAGACAGCAGTGATCCCAGGAAAGCCCCACAGGGGCCTGAGCAGGCCCAGCTCTCTCTTTCCCCACCCAGGAGACCCCTAAATTACTAAATTACTTCTCTTTGGCCCGTTTATACTTCACACGCCTGACCCAGCCTTTCCTTGCACAGGACGCCCAGGGGCACAAGATCTCCCTGTTTGAAGGTGCCAATTTCAAGGGCAAAACCGTAGAGATCCAGGAGGATGACGTGCCCAGTCTCTGGGTCCACGGGCTCTGTGACCGCGTGGGCAGCGTGAAGGTCACCAGCGGAACGTAAGCATGCTCCTGCCGGGTCCGCGTCCCCTGCCCAAGCACAGACGGCCCCGGGGGCTCTCCCCCTTGCAGGATATAATAGCAGACTCCCCGGAAAGGCCACGGCCCCTCTCACCATTTCCCCTGCTGGTATCTGGGACGCGCCAACAGGGCTTTATTCCTCTGGGGAATAGGGTCGTCCTTTGACAAATTCCACGTCAATGTAAACAAATCTGGCCATTGGTTCTAAAATGCTGGAAGATGGAGAGAATAGGGGCTTCTAAACCCAGATGGTCAAATAATGGAGTCAGAATTGATGTGGAAAGATGAGGCTGGAAGTGTCCAGGGAAAGAGAATGTTCAGGGAGATCCGGAGCTTCTGGGGAAGTGAGCAGAATGACTCTGAGCAATGACCCTGTGTCATGGGAGACCCTGGACTCTGCTACTGACACTGAGGAACCAGGGTGAGCCCACGCCCCTCTCGGCCTCTCGGTGCTGCCAGCTGTACAAAGGGCACATCAAACTCCCTGATCTAAAAGGGTCCTTTCTGCTCTGAACTCTCAACATTTGAAGCTTTCAAAACAGAGTCCCATGACCTCATGTCCTCGAGAACACAGGGAAAGGCCGGATGCCCAAAGGAGGTTACTTTGTCCATCCCCCTGCCTCCAGGCAACCATGCCGGACACCCCTGGTCTTTTCTAGGCAAATGTCAGGCACTGTCTCACCATCCCCAGACTCATTCTGAGCTCCCGTAAAACCATCAGGGCCCTGGCCCTTTTTCTTGTTGTTTTCCACTTCCCTGAAACCTGTCATCCCACCATTCGAGCCATCTGAAATTTACCGAGCCTTGTCTGTGAGACAAACTCTGGGGAAGGCAGGGATGAGTAAGTCCAAGTTCCTGCCTTCATGCAGCTAACTCAGCCTAGCAGGGGGGACCCAGATACACCTGTGAGACAGTGTCCAGCAATACTAGGTAAGAGATGGCCCAGCCAGGGCATTTGTGTACAGGAAGTCAGAGGAGGAAAGAAGGTTTCTGGGACCTGACTGTGTACATGGTGGAGTGAAGAGCAGGTCAAAAGTTTATCTGAAAAGGCTGGAACTTCAGTCAGGCTTTGAATGATGAACAGGGTGTCTGGGACAGGCCGGGAAAGACCCTCCCAGCAGAGACGATGACAGAAGTTAGAAATGAATGATTCA